CACTGGGTCAGCTGTGGGGTTCAATATGACCAATAACTCTCTCAACGGTTCGTTTTCATGCATATTCTTGATTACTCTTCCATTTTGTTTATTGTATCGCCTCTGTCGTGTCGGGTATCTATTATGTTTAGTATATCACCTATGCACGTAGTTAATAAGTCAATATTGACTTTACGAATTTGCGAGAACGGGTTGCGTATTTCAATACAGTGAGGTCTCTCTAGCTCTCTTCGTAGCTCAGTCCTCTCGGGACCAATTTTATAACAAAGCTCTGATCAAGCCGGCTGTTATTCGTACATCAGACTGCCTGCAGTAGGGGACACATCCGCGTATCCTAGTCTTGTGTATCTTCAAGATTTCTTTAGCTGTTACTTAAGGTGAGTTAAGATGTTACTTAAGGTGGTGTGGGAAAACTTGGCTCAGATATTTTATTTAAATTAATAGTTTTCGATATCTACGAAGGATAACCACTTTTAATTAAAAAGTGGTAAACTAAGTAGAACAAGTGTTTTGAAATTAAATCCAAGAACTAGTGTTCTATGGATGTTCTTAATTAACAATGTATTGAATATTAAAGGGATTGTATATTATAATTAATTATGAGTCAAACTGACTCACCCAAAATGGGGGGTTACATACTAAAATATTAATACATCCCCAGCATCCTAATTGATGAACACTTGCTCATCAATGGAGTAATTAGGAATATTAAGAATATATATGAAGAGTATAATATAATTGTTTAATAAATCAAACTGATTTATTAAACAATTTTTAATAAAAATTGCATAGTTGTATTATTAGTTTTAATAATATCAGTTGCATATTGTCCTGGGGACCATTCAGGCTTGTTCGCATTTAATAAATCAATGGCTATTAAATGGTAGCTTAAAGGTTAAACAGTGGTTAATGAATAATGCAGTAATTACCATAAGATAAGATAATGGTTCATATCTTATCGGTTAGTAAAATATTGAGAAAGATATGTATGAAATAAATAGCATACAAAAATAATTTAAAGTATATTGATATTATATTAAATCAATATATGATAATGGGTTAGTAAATGTGCTAAATTTAAATCAGCCGCTTAGCTGTGATTAGAGGTAGTTGTACACGCGTAGAGTAGCCTCATCTGGTGAGTGTTGGAACACCCGGAGTCTGCCAGTGCAGACCGCTTATCACATGCCTCTGTGTGATGGGGATTTTTTAGCATCACCTAGTTAGCTTTTTTGACACACTGTACTCCACTTCATATAGTCTAGGGTAGCTGCACTAATGCAGATGTACCTAATATGTTAATAAAAAAAAAAAAAGAGCATGCGCCCTGCGACACGCGTGGCTTGGGGAGTTGATACTCTCCTCGACGGGTTCTCGGCGCAGGTCTTAATTGAAATTGAAATAAGTTTATTGAGGTAAAATACACACAAAGAGATGAGGCAGCTCAAGCTATTCTCACCCCGTTACACAGGCTGTAAACCCAATGAAATGTACAAGGATGTCTATGTACGAATTATTATGCAACTATTTCTGACTTAGAGAGGAGACCGCAAATAGACCTGAACTAACTTTTGCTTTTATTGGTGTTCTTGCCACTTGACGACGAGTGACCTACCAGTTTGTTATGTATACTTAAGCAAACCTTTATAGGACGTTTTTACATTACACTCGCCGAGCCGATGTCCAGCCGTCAATGGAGTCGCTCCTGCACCCTGGCACTCACGATTTGGGAATGTCGAAATAAGGGCCGGCTGAATACGCAAACTCCTAGACGAAACTTTATCAGCTGGTCTCTCTCACGCTGCTAATACGGCGTCTCTCTCAAAGCGGAATGGCGTCTATCTCCCCTTCCCTCTCTCTCTCTGGGATACGCATGCGCAGTACGTTCCAGAGTGATCCCGCGCATAAAATGTTTTATTTACTTGTAATTAATTGGGGAAGTAAGGAATTATGACAAGTACTTATGTCACTAATAAATGTATTAAGTTGCAATATACTTTTGCATAGTACAAGTCAGTTTATTAAGACTGCGTAAAATAACGAGAGGAAAATTATATAGAATTATTTTCCATTGCAATATTTTCCACCGTAGTTGTTAATTCAGCTAAATAATCGAGTTCAGTAAGCAGTAATATGCTGTATAAATAAAGCAACTAAATAAACGATTATCCTTAGTAAAGGAAAGTAATTAACTGGACTCTGTTTACATTCAACTGAATGTGGAGATATTTCATGTTTCAACATGACGCTACCTCACAGCGTTATGAAGACTAGGAGTCAGATTCATGAAGCAGTTACGCAGGTACTTACGAACGTGTACATCTTTCCCCCATTGAGTGACGGCTTTAGTTACATTTATTAAACAGTTTACAAGAATGAAAACGTCCCAATCAACTATTGTTATTGTTATAAACAGCCTTCTGGTACTTCGGAGCTCATTAACTGTTTAATAATTGTTAACAAAGCCGCCAAAGATTGAGAAAAGATGTATAGGTTCGTA